TTTGCTGCTGCTGTGGATGCTGTTAACTCAGGAACAGCAATACAAGTCGGAAATATCTGAAACAGGTGGTGGTTTGTCCTCAAACCTATTACAGAACTCAGTAACAGGAACGTAATGCTGGAGTGCAGTAAAAAAAAAGCTTAATAGGACCTGAATGTTAAAGCAATGATCTGGACAGAAGTGCTGATGATAGTGGTAATATCATCATGGTATAGGAATGGTAATGTTACTTGACCTAATGGATAATCATTAATAATTTTTTAATCTTTAGAAAACAAAAACAATTGACTATTGTCTACCTGAATACAGATAAAAAAAAAAAATAAACCTTTAAAACTGCAATCTTTAGATGTAATTTGGGTGCCCCTAATCTCTATGTTGGTTCTGCAAAGAGAAGAAGAATGGCACATACTGTATGTAGAAGCAGAGCAAAAACTGTGTCTACTGTACAGCTACTGTACGTAAGACTAAGCCTACTTCCAGTTAATTCATCTCCTGAGTGCTGCAAATTATTAGCTTCACTAACAGACACAAACAACAGAATAAATTAGAATAGATATATTAGTGTACAACAGTAACATATGCAAAAGTTTGTCCTGAAACCAGGGGTTTGCCGGTTCAAATCCCTGCTCCATTCATCCCCATCACTGTGTCCTTGGGTATGCCACTTATCCTTCATTGTCTACTGTGGGTGGTCAGAGGGCCTGTTGGCGCCTGTAGTTTGCTAACGATAGTGGGTGAATGACTGAATGTAGTGTAAAGTGCTTTGGGGTCATTGGACTTGATAAAGTGCTCTACAAGCATATAACCTTTACCATTAAATATTATTTTTTGTCCCACAGAGGGATATTCAGGAGGTTATTTTCATGGTAGGTCCTTTTTTAATTCCATGAAAACATAAACCTCAACGACCAAACCTTTATAAATTCTAAAACCAAAATCTATCGATAAAATGGCTGTCAGAAAAGACATGAAAAAAAGCACAATTTTGATCCACAGAAAACATAATCGATAATATCTTCCTCGATAGTAAAAAACAATAATTGCAGTTTTGGAGACAGACAAAAAGGAAGAAGAAGCTAAAGCCAAGTAAACTGGATTCAAGATAGGGCCTTTTTTCTTCTTCTTGCATTATACCCATGTGTATTAAGAAGTCTTTAGCTGAAAAGTTTGCAGATTGGTAAAGCAGAGGATGTCATATGCACTAAAATCTAGTCGGAATAGCTTTTCAGTAAGAAAGGCATCTGCATAAAAATTAACCTGAGTAGCAGTAGGAGTGGGTAACTGGATGGTCCATTCACAGAGATAACAGAAATAAATCATCACTTCTCCTGCACTTCAATCGTATCTTTAGATCAGATCTTAAGCTGGAAGCCTTCCTGCCTGCTGCGCCCTCTGCTTCTCAGACCAGCTCATAAAACTTTAATGATAATAAGGTTACCAACAAAATCAACCTAGATAGATGAACTCCTGGTCCTGCAAAATAATAATATTTTTTTGGCTTTCGAGTCCTTTTGGAAAGTGTTTAGGCCTTTCAAAGACACTGTCTTAGAATCCAACCGTGCAGCACTACAGTAGGTGATGCATTAGTTTGATTTCCTCTTTACATTTTTCAATGATACTTCTTTTTCTAATATGACTTCTATGAATATATAGAATTGTATTAAGTTTCCAGTCTAAAAGAGTCATTCTTTTTTTTTTTTCTTAACAGTGTCCTGTCTGGCAATGTGGCAATAAGAATAATTATCTTGATGCCTAAAAGAGTCGCTCTAAACATCTGCTAGAAGCCTCATACTGTCCTAAATTGAGTATTTAAACAACATAGGCTTTCCAAACAGATTATTACTTTTTAAGCACATATTAGAATTTCATCCAGGTGTTGTGTGGTACTTAATATAAATCTATTCGCACCTGACACATGTACACAGAAAACAAAATGTGTGTATGTAACTGACCTTCATTCAAAGACAACAAAAAAAAACAACAACACAAAACAAAAAAAAATACTATTTGCTCAAATTTTTTGTGGCCCTCTAAAGCTGTTGGGTAAATCTGCAACTCACGCTAACACCCACACTGCTCACCTCACAGATGCCTTCCCCCTGGTGCTAGTCTGTCAAAAACAGCAGCAGCGTCTCTCTTTTCCCTTGAACCAAAAACTAACAAGCAAAGTTTGGCCTGCTAGCGCTTCATGAAGTTGAGAACTTCCTGTCAAGTTGGGCGAAAGTAAGCCATGGACAAAATTTCCCTTGAGTCGAACACTGGCTATGTTCTTTGCACTAAATCATACATCCATCAAAGGCAGCATGGGACCACGCAGTTTAAATAGGAAGTGCATTGAAGCTGAAGCGCAGAACAAACTGAACTATGTCATATAAAAAGTATTTTTGGAGCAGCGGCACTTTTTCACGGACCAATACCATGGCTGCCTTATTGATCCCAATTTGCTGGTTGAGTGTAAGAGTAGAAATGGAAAGACACATAAAGCAGGAGCTAGAGGTTGAGAAAAGCAAAGAAGTGGAGAGCGTCACTAAAGGATTCACAGCTCTTAATGAACATTTCTATAAAAAAAAAACGAAAAACAAAAAAAAAAGAAAAAAATTGGGGGGAGGGCCTTTTGTGAGGAGCTCATCACCTTCCCTATCCTATAGAGGGGACGGGCCCACAGCATGATGCTACCACCCAGACACATTTTCTTTCCCATTTCCTCAAAGGTACATGGACCGTCTTCAAGGGAAGGCCTAGTTTGGATATGTGTGCTCCTCTTTCTAGAAAAAATGAAATGTCCAGCGATTTCTTTTTTTAAGCCATTCAAATCTAAATTTCTCTACCCTTTTATGACCAATCTGCTATATTCTTTGGTATTCATGTTGCAGTTTGCCCTCTAATCTTCTTAAGCCAAACTCTGGAAAGAAATTTGTTTCACAGAAATTACTTAAAGGAATCAGAATAAACGGGGTAAATTAAATTCCAAAGCTTTTAATTTTTCTTTACAATGCACAAATACAAACCATTTTGCACTGGTCTGTCACAAAGTATCCAAGTTAAAAGATATAAATGTTGTTGGTGCAGAAGGACATAATGTGAAAAAGTACCAAAAGTGTGCATACTGTACTTTGTGCTGAGTAATCTGGCATAGTTAGTGTCTAGAGATGAAGCAATAACAAAGACTCACCTGAAACTTCACACAATGCAAGTACATTGTTTACCTTTTATAAATGATATAAAACTTCATTGTGTAAAATAAAAGAATGAGATCTAAGCTTTCTTTTCAATTCTTCTGAAAACACAAAACACAAAGGGAAAGATTTAAAGTTAATTGCGTTGATCGCACATGTCTCAACTGTTTCAATGCTCAGTCTTGTATGGATGGAGTTGATCAGCACTTTAACTCTGTGAGATTTGACTACTCTGTTTCACATGTTTTCTAATGGTACAATGAAAAATGACAGAGAGAAATTCTGTGCACATGCTCATCTTTTTCATCTTTTTATAATTGATGGTGGTACATTATTAGTAGGGTGAAAGTGTATTTTTTGTATTTTTGTGTATTTTCTTATTGTATTTTTTTTTAAGTTTTGTTTTGAGGAACTTAACATAGTTGTTTAAAATAATTTCTAAGTAATATTCATATAATCATCATAGTCATTATTTTCTAATAATTACTATCAATATTATTACCTCTAACTTGACTTGGAACCTCATCTTTCTTTTACAGCCACCCTCACAATGCAAGCAGCACATGCAATTTGCTCATCTGAATGGAGTGGACTAACAATAGTTTGTATGTCTTAACTTTTGAACCAAGAATCTTAGATCCCATGCAACATGGCCATTTCTAGCACATTGATTTTGAAATGTTTGGCCACGTAAATTGACTCTCCTTATTTGGATTCTTTCAAAATCAGGCCCTAAATTATATAACTACTCCCAAACATTATATTCAATGCATTATTTTAAGGATTAGCACAGGTATGAAACTAGATTTTCACAATCCCAGGCTAATTTAACTTGAATTTTATAGAATATATGTCACATGCTGAGCTTCCTTCATTCAGCCCTGACTCCGAACAGAGAATCATACCTAAGAATTAGCTCTATCAGCAGCACAGTGATCTATCCCGCTGACAAGCATAGACATGCTGTGAAGCCCGATACCAGTGCTCACCTGAAGTGCAGGTGTTAGTGTTGGCTGATATTAACTGAAACCTCTAATGCACAAAAAGGAGCCAGTGGGCAAGCTTTACCGCATGTGTCAAGTGGTCTGCACAATGAATTATTAAATCTTCAGAAGCTGTTTAAACCGAGGTTCCAGAGAGAGAGAGTGAATGACCAACATGAACTCACCCCTGCAGCTAAATCAGTGTGTTATATATCCTATAGGCCACATGCAGGCTGACTGTTCAACTGTCAGCCTGCCCCATTGATCAGTTTGGCTACTCAGGGTACATTAGGTAATGAGAAGACCAGCAATGCACAAAGGAAAAATGGAGCAAGATGTTCAGACAGAGGAAAAGATCTGATCTTCCTGAAAGGCATAAACAAACATTCATCAATCTGCAGGCCATGCACAGGCACATACCCACACATCCGAAGCCGCATCTGCTCATTAGTGCTGATGGTAGGAACAAAGGCAACAGTTTTTCTTTGCACCACCTTAGCTGTCTCTGTTTGTCTGAATTCAAACCTCTCCCTTGCTGCGCTCCGCAGCTCAATCTACAGCAAATGCCAGCACAAGTGTCAGTGTTCTTTGTCACTGCATTCTTCTTTGCTGGCTTCAAGATCATTAAAGTTTTTGAGAAACTGGTTTGAAGGCACAGAGGAACAGCTGCTGTGAATGTGGTGGGACAGGCAACAGTAGCATCAGGATGAAAGGAAGATGGGGAGACGTGAGATACATAGAGCTGAGGTACATTTTAACAGCGGCAGTGGTGAAATAATGAGATAGACGTAATTGGAGATGGACCTGTAACACAAACAGACAAGATGTCATTCCTTACATGGAAGGATGCTCTCTCCTCTCTGTCCAGGGGCTGAGTGACGAACATGTTGCCACTGATGGGATCTATGTTGTAAATTCCGCTCGGGGGCTGATCTGCGCCGGCGCCTGTGATGCTGTAGCGAATGCCAACGTCCTTATCCTGATCCGAGCGGATCTGAGGAGATTCAGAAAAACAAGTTCAATGGAGAGGAAAATCTGTTCCTTAGTCCAATGTTTTCAGACTTTTTCCACACTTTTCTGTAAAAGACAGTGAAACAGAATAACACTCAGGCAAAAAAAAAAATTGACATTCAGAGCTTTGCTGTAGAAGTCTTATCCCTTGATCTTTTTCACAATTTCTTTCACTAGAATTGAAAAAAACAGTTGTTTGACAAGGATTCTAGAGAAATAAAGCAATGAATAATTGGGAATCAGATTGAAAACACTGAATAAAAGAGTTTTTAGAATATTAATAAATAAAGATTGCACACTTTCCAGCTAAGATGCTTGTTTAGTATGCATGCAAATGTGTCATGTGTGACAAGAAATTAACATCTTTTATAACCATAAACACATCCCCACAGGCAAACGTAGTGGTGGCATCCTCGTGCAAGTGGGAATGTTAGTCTTTATCAGGGGCGGAGAAGCTTATAAGCTACATATTTGTAAAAAAAAAAAAATGTGGAAACCATTTATCATTCCCTTTTTTCTGCTAGAATATGCACAGCTTCTGTTGTTCTATTCCATAACATGCCCCTAAAATACGCAGAGGTTTGTGATTAAAATGTGAACAAACTTCTGTGACATGTTAACCCCAAACCCTTTCGATTAAGAAAACAGATTTTCTTTCTGTAACAAACGGTTTGAGAAGTTAGAAAATAGAACTGCTTGGCATATAATGTCAAACAAAATAAAACAATAAATAGATCATATACCAACAAAAAACATGGTCTGAAAGAAAAACACAAGAATGTGTGCAGTTTGAAAAATCTGATCTTTCCTAAATGTCAGCAATTTAATCTTATATAGTTTAAAGATGTGAAAAAAGAGCAATGCTCATGGTGTGAAAGCCATAGTCAGGCCTTTGTTGTGCATTAATGTGAGACCTCAGCGATCTCTCTAAATGACAAAACTTACTCTGGCTTCTTTTTTATCAACTTCTAGAAGCTCAGACTGCTCACCCCACCTTTAACCCCCAATATTCTTCAACCTCATTTTAAATGTAACATTTAATGAGAGCCAAATTTTTGCTTTAAGCAGGTTTTATTAATAATGCCTCCTCTGTCAATAGAAATATGTTAGTTGTTGCTAACTTGATAAGAAGTAATAGTGGGAAGGGTCTGTACAGTAAGGTTCTTTTCCTGAGAAATTGATTTTTTTCGGGCGATTCAAGGATTCTGCTCTTTCACCCAGCAGTACAGCAACATTAACCTGGCCTTGGTTTGGAAAAGTCAGTAAAATAAAATTATTTGTAAATTGGTTTGCAAAGACAGCTGGCTGTTACAGCTTCTTTAATTTATTCATGTTAAAAGCATAAAAGCTTGTGGGTGAATAGATTAATTTGTTTAGAGAAATGGAAAACAATAACACAGCAGAACTCTGACTTTAAACAATATAGAGATCTTAGGACAAATAAATTAAAAGCAAAGTTCCTTTTTAGCCAAAAAATAAAAATGAATAAATAAATTAAATTTGGTTTAAAACGTAAATTTTCAAATAAAAAAAAGAGTCACCTGGAAAACTGTCAGATGGCAGAGTTGAGTATTTTTGAAGGAGTTTCCACAACAAATAAATAAAACCCTTCCAAAACAGTTCATATCCTTGAACCTTTACATATTTCATTATTTTACTATAAAATCGTGAGTCGTAACAAATGTTAAAGGTGTACATAACGTTTATCTGTAAGAGAAAAGATACATACTGTTTTTTTCTATAGGTTTTTTGTGTTTTAATACAAATATTCTTGAGAATTACATTTTCATTCAGTCCTCTTTACTCTAAAACCTCTAAAAAAATCTGTTCCAACAAAATGGGATTGGAGGACCTGTTTTTAGTAAACAGCTCACAAGAGCGTAGTCATTGTTGTGAAGGTACCAACTACCCAAGTGTTGAGTCACACCTAAAGGAAAGATAAATGTCCCACAATAAGTTCAAAGTCAAGACGTTAAAATCCTTAGTCAAGTCCTGAATTCTAAACTGTTACTCTGAAGTTTTAAACCTAATCAAAATCCCATTCAATCACAAAGTAATAATTAGTAGCTTCTGTGTTTCCGTGCAGTTGACAAAACTGTTTGTTATTTATTAGTGGTAAAAAGAAAACAATGTAAGGTGCTCTGGTCAATGAGACCACAAACAAACTTATTCTACAGTATTGCTAGACCTCATACTATTATTGTCACCTTATATATATATATATATATATATATATATATATATATATATATATATATATATATATATATACAC